CTTTGCCCTAGTTGGGCCCCTGAGTGAGGCCCTTCACCCTAGTTGGGCCCCTAAGTGAGGCCTTTGCCCTAGTTGGGCCCCTAAGTGAGGCCCTTTGCCCTAGTTGGACCCCAGAGCCAGGCCCTTCGCCCTAGTTGGGCCCCTAAGTGAGACCTTTGCCCTAGTTGGGCCCCTAAGTGAGGCCCTTCGCCCTAGTTGCTCTAGGGACTATCTAAGGCCTGCGATATACTTCACGTGAGGTGACGCATACACAACGCAAGCAGTGTACTGACTGAACTTACACGCGTAGTTTACCTCTGTCTGGAGGCAGACACTAGGGGGCAGTGCAAGAAAACCATCTTGGTCGGCTCATACGTTTCCAGTCTCACTTGTTTTGTATGAGGTTGTGATATGAAACGATGTACACCCATTCATGCGAAAGTAGTACCGGTAAATTTTAATATTATACATATACTAGATCAGGGGTGTCAAACTCAATTGCACAGGGGGCCAAAACTCGAAGCACACTTTAGGTTGCGGGCCAAACAGGATAAACATTTATTGAACAGACTAAAACTAAACGTAAATATGAATCGAAACAGACAGGATACAATATTATTCCAAAATAAATAAACTTAAATTTAAAATAACTTAAAATATTTTGCTCTCCATAAAAATATATCCTATCAAAATTATACATATTTTAAAATATGAATATACTGCAAAAAAAAAAAAAGAAAATATAACTAAAAATGGTGTTTTTAAGTGAAAGTTAAAATAACAAATCAAAACATTCCATTTCTTTGCTCTTATGCCATTCTGTCAGAGTTGGATGCTTGGCATCTTTTCTTGGTAACAGGTTCTTTTATGTTTGGGGTATAAGGTTCTGTGTTGTGGAGATTCTCTCTCAGCCACATTAGCTCCACAAATAAGACACATGGGTTTACCTGCGATTTCAGTAAACATATACTCAGCCTCTCACCGGTTTTGAAAGGCTCTGTTTTCAGAATCAACTTTTCTTTTGGCAATTGTTAGGGGCTAGCTTTGACTTATGGTTATGGAAATTATGGTTGTATACATCAACAGACGCTTGATTGATCTGACGTAATTGATGCGGGAATGATCGCAGGTAGCCTACGTTCGGTAAGGCAGCTGTTGCACTGCATTATGGGATTTATAATTTGTGTGTTGTTGGTGCTTCATATCGCCGGGCCATTAAAAAAAAGATATATAATGATCTTGCGGGCCGGGTATAATTCTACGCCGGGCTGGATGTAGCCAGCGGACCTTGAGTTTGACACATGTGTACAGTGGTACCTCAGAACTCGAATTTAATTCGTTCAGAACTCCAGATTGAATCCTAAAAAGTATGAGTTGTGATCGAATTTTCCCCATAAGAAATAATGGAAAACCAATTCATTGGTTCCTGGCCCCAAAAAATTACACCTAAATATGTTTTTTTTAGCATTTAAACACAAAATGAACCGGATAAAACAAGAAGAGCATATACTGTGCTAAACACATCTAAGCACATTTATCAAAACAGTAATTTGTAAAGTAAGAAAATAAACAATGTGTCCTGCCCCGATCGTCCGCTCCTTCCCTGTGCCACGCCCCCTCGTTAAATCCCGTGTGGAATCCCCGTGTGATCAGCTGTTTCTGGTTGTTGTCATTAGGCTTCTGTATTTCGTCCGCGTTTCAGTTTGTTTCCCCAGTCCGGTCATTGTATTGTCCGTCTGTGTTTTGTCTCCCTTACCTGTAATTAAACCCCGTATTCCCCGATACCCTGACGTCTGCGCCTTTGTCTCTGTTTCGTCCCCGCTCGGCCCAACAATATTATTATAATTAAACGTATTAATGGTTTATTATTAATATTAAAATAATAAGAAATCTTTATTTTTAAATGTATTTTATTATATAATAATAATTACTGTTACTGTCTATCATTGTCTAAATGTATTTTTACTGTCTAAATATATGTATTCAGTTAGTGTAAACATGCACGGTGCTATCACAGCTAATGTGAGACTGAGACTGAAGCGTTACCCTTTGTTTCCGCTGAGAGACGTGCCATGTGACTCATTTCCCCGCGTGTACAAGTTATCTTAGGTCGGCGTTCACAGTTTGACTTCTGAGATTCAGATCGAGCTCTAGGTAATTTTTTTTCCGAACTGGTTGGTTCGAAATTCAAGTTCTAATGAGTTAGATAATCCTGAAAAGGTCATTAAAATTGTATAGCTTGCTAAGTTTAGTTTCCTATAACAATAAAAATGTTCTAGGGAAATGTAAACCCCACGCTCTCCGCAAATTTTATAACCAAGATTTATAAATACCAGAACTGTATTGAAAAATAACGTTGCTTATGAAAGTAGGCAATTCAGAATTTCAAGTTAGAGTTTCATTGTACTTCATACACATGATAGTGTACACAGAGGGACACATTAGTGCTTACAAAATTTTCTCTCTTACCTCTGAAAATATACAGTTCTTCAGGCCATTCATTCTTAAAATATCAGATTTTACTTTACTTTATTTTAATACTAACTACCATATATAAACACATAATCCCATGATAAAAGGTACTGGCACCTCAATTTTTGGTGGTACTGCATCTCGTGTACGCGTCACGTTAACTCCTGGCGTAGGTGCACCTACGATGCATGGAATGAACGCAGAAAACACGTGGCGGCCTTGATGCGTATGCATTTTGAGCATCAAGTGTAAATCAGCCCTAACCCTGCTTTCTCTCTAGAATGTATGTCACTTTGAATAAAAGTGTCTGCGAAATAAATAAAACGTAAATGATTTCCCCTTTGCATATAGGGCATGGACTACCTGGCCAGTAAACGGTACATCCACAGGGACCTGGCCACCCGCAACATCCTTGTGGAGAGTGAACTAAGGGTGAAAATTGGGGATTTCGGTCTGACCAAAGTGCTGCCCCAAGACAAGGAGTATTATACAGTGAAGGAGCCCGGCGAGAGCCCCATCTTCTGGTGAGGAGGTCTTACTGCTCCGCCGCTAATTAGCTACTGGGCTGCTGTCTATTCTGTTACATTATTTACATTAGAATTTTCGGCACCGATGTGTGATGAGAGCTGAGTGCAGACTGAAGCTGATGGACATGGTTCTTTTGATGCTGACGTTCCTCTTTGTGGTTCCTTTTGTGTCTCCGGCTGGTGCATTAAGGTCCTGACCTCGTGTGTGTCTTACTGCAGGTATGCCCCCGAATCTCTTACAGAGAGCAAATTCTCAGTGCCCTCTGATGTCTGGAGCTTCGGAGTTGTCTTGTACGAGCTCTTCACCCACAGCAACAAGAACAACAGCCCACCAGCTGTAAGTTTTGGGCTTCTGTGAAGCATTTTTTCCTGGTTTTAACACTTCCAATCTGATTTCCATAAGACAGCCAAAACAAATATGTGGTTGCCTTTATGAAACGTGTTTTTCTTAATGTATATTTTTTTCCAATAATATTTATAGTTTGTTCCTTAATATTAGTGGGATAGATCATTCTGTGTAGCATAATTTCACTCTGCCAATCATCTTCTGGGTGGCTTCATAAACCAGTAAGTCCATCCTGTGTTGGCTTTGCTCCAGGTGTTCATGAGAATGATGGGAAGCGATAAGCAGGGCCAGATGATTGTGTACCACCTGATTGAGCTCCTCAAACAAGGTAGCAGGCTGCCCTTGCCGGATGGGTGTCCTACAGAGGTAAGCCATTCATGACCAGTGGAGTTCTGTTAGCTGCAGTCGCCCGTCCAAGGATGTCAACATGCTATGAAACAGACCTAAAATGGACAAAGGCACTGAATTATCCTTCTCAATGTTGTGTACCTGCCTGTAGATCCACCGGATCATGACGGAGTGCTGGAACAGCGACCCCTGCCTGAGACCGTCCTTTAAGAAGCTTGCTCAGAGTGTGGATGTGATTCGGGACAGCAAAGAGAGCTGAGCTTGTCTCTTGGGAGCTCTGAAGGGTCACAGAGCAGATGGCTGCTGCGTGCTTGTTTATAGCGCCCCCTGGTGTGGCGTCTCCTGAACTTTGGAGCGTCGTCGAGGGCGGCTTTGGGAGGACACCAGGCTGCGTGCGTTTTGCGACACTGGGTCAAAGTATGTTAGAGGAAGTCAGACGTCCTTGAGAAACTATGTGATATTGTCTGGACTTCACCAGACATTTATTTCATGGGAAGGAAGTGAAGATTGAAGAGAATTACTAAGAACTTCTTGGAGTTAGTGAGATAAATAGCTTTTTATTTTATGAACGTGGACTGCAAAGGAAAAACTAGCCCACCCTACTGAGATAAGAACTATGGTAACCTGCTGAGATAACCTCTATCTTAGGAGAGGAATTTCACAAACGACACCTGGGGCAGGGAATGGATTATGTGACGATGATATGTTTTTCTGTAAAATGATTTATTTTCTGTTCTTTTTATTAATCTTTTTATGTAGCCAAAGCTTTGATAAACAGCTAATTTGACTGCATGTCTGATATCCAAACAAAAAAAGATTCTGGTCTGATTAGTTAGAACATACTTGGTTGACTACATGAAATGGTTCACAACATAGCCAACTATCTACAGGTGAAAAAACAGCAACAAGAAATATCAGAATTATTTTTTATGAGCATGGAATGGCAACCATGCCGTATGCGTCTTGTTTTGGAGCACTGCTACAGATTAGATGTGAGGTAGAAGCTGTGCAGCAGTTCGGGAAAGAGGAATGGACTTCCTGTTGCTTGCATTGAAATGCTAATGTGTGTGACTGAGCATGTGCGCTTGCCCCTTCGCTGTGCCGTTTCCTGCAGCTGAAGCAAGATACAAGAAGCAAAACGAGAACCTCTACAGGAAATGTGCTGTGACATATATAAGATGTATGGAAACTTCAGGGGAATTATAGGTCTCATGATTTTTTTTAACACATTTCTGGCAGCAGTGCTGGCCTTTACATCACCCATCTCTTTTAAGATTTACAGGGAGAAAAATATATATCTATACTTTTTTTCTACAGATAATATATACAGAGGAAGCTTTATTTTTTGTAGACAAAATAAGACACTGGTTTCATCTGATATTTAGGCAGTTTGTGTAAATGGAAAAAATGTTTTGCTTAAAATATTCATGTCTTATTTTGTAATATCTTAATTGTAATACGGAACATTTCAGATTAAAAAAAATGGTCATTTTTAAAGGGTACAATTTTGTTCATCTGTGTAATCTATGTATTGTGACAGGAGACTTCAAGTAATTTTTTGCATAGAGCAAAACAGCATTTCAAAAGCTGATCATCTTCATTTTAACTATTAATAGATGCACTCGTTGTTTATGAAGAAATCCACTAAACCTGATATGCACTTAATCTTATTTTCATACCTTGGAATGGAAAATATTTCCTGTTGGGTAACTTAAGTCACTTACAGCAACTGCATCAACTGCACTGTCTAAGAAATCTGGCGCATTAGGGATGAATTCCCTAATGAGACTGAGCAGACCAGGGTCTGTTTAAACATGATTCTGACACGTCACCTTCCCATCAATTGTAGTGGGTGTGAAATTGGTGGCATTAAATTCCTGCACTGTTGGCTTAACTTTGCAGCACAATGACTTATTGTTTGGAATGTTCTTCCAGAATGTATTCTCAAGATCTGAATGTGGATTGTCTGTGGGGAGCAGTGAACGAGATTAAGCTGTTAGCAAACTGAGAAATCCACACTTGCGGCTGTGCAATTTTGATTAATTCAGAACCTTGGCAAAGTGTTAAGTTTACACATTGGAACAACTGAAGGACTTCAGGTGAAATACTTTGCTCAGTGGATCTACAGCCGGGTCTGACCTGGGACTGGCCATAATATGCAAGCTGCATGTGATGACACAGCAGAGGGAAAACATTGTTCCAGCTACTGTATATGCATCCTAATATTAGCCAAGGATGGCTGACTTCTATTAATTATATTTTCTAATATTTGTCTAGTTGCAGAAACTTAGGTGTAGCTGGACAATATAGAGCAGTGTACCTGATTCCAGTACAGTACAAAGCCTTGTAAATTAAAAACTAGGCCTTTATGTCATGAATCTCAAAAACGGAGCCAGTTTGTGTTTTGATTTCTGGCTGCTGTCTTTTTGTACAGTGGGAGGCAACAGAAAGCCGTACATTCTCAGGAGCCATTTCTTGTTGATATTTAATAATTATAAACGTTTACATTTATCATGACTTTGGGTTTGGTTACTCATCGTAATTCATTCAGATGCTCCCCAAGGCCGTGTGACATCAGTCATCCGGATACAATGTGGCAGGTTTTACAGGACAAAGCTTTTTATTCGTCTGTACAGAAGAGGAGGGTGCTTCAGCTCTCTGACACTCCGATGTCTTAATAATACATTTGATATTTGTACTATAAATTACAACTGAAGGATTACAGTTATACATTTGATATTTGTTAACTGAACAAAAAAATGTCTAAATTGGATACATTCTGGAGACATTGCATTAATACTACAATCTTCCCTGATTATTTAAAGTAAAGAAAAAAGGAATGAATGAATTTGAGAGCGTAAGAATGGCTTCTTGGCACAGGGCTCCACCGCGCCAGCACGTCCCGCTTCAGCACAAACGGCCGATGTCATTTTTGGTGCAGCCCAGGTTGCAGCACATCCCCGCCAAGCCCAAGGAAAAGTTCCTCTTCCGTCTGTTAGGGTACGCCCAGGGTGTACTGCGGCTCCTTGCTTGGCTCACACCGATCTCGTTTGAGTCCAGTGCTTCCTCGGGGTCGCGGTCATTCGAGATTCCCAGCACATTGAGAACATCCAGGAGGGAGAAGGCAGGCCTATTGGGGTGCTCTGCCGATACGGCCTGAGGCCAGGACAGGTTCCCTTCAGTGTCTGATGGGTCACTGTATGGTCTCTCCGGGAAGGGAGCTGCAGAGAGCAAAAGATGCAAAAGTTTCATTGATTAGCTGGATGAACTACTAATGAAGTATGAATGTTTTCCAGCCATGATATCCAACTATCAAACATTATGCCTATTATAACTCTACCTGGCTCTGCCCTCCTATTCAACATTTCTGGCAAAAAGTCATTAACAAAATTTCTGTACTGTAGTATTCCACCATCTCCATCCCCCTGCTTACTGGGAGGTCATTCAATAAAAAAAAAACCCACCTACTGCCAAAATACTATCCTCCTAAACTGGAAAACAAGACAAATGGCAAAACCTTCTCCAAGTATAGATACATGGAACAAATCACTCTTCAGCACCAAATCTCTCACTTTGAAAAAGTTAGGGCTACTTTATCGTTGCATATTAAACTCCTGTTGTTTAACCCTCTGATTTGGCTACACATTTTTACAGACAGAAACACACACACGTATATTACAAACTTTCACCAGAATCTGTTTGGATATTATGGCGATAGCATAGGAGGATGGGAGAGTGCACAGTAGTGTCACCTAATGCCATGGAAATGAAAAATTGTCCTCCGTGGGAGTGGCGGGATACACACACACACACACACTTAATTGTAATCATACAATTAAAACACAACAATAATAACAGTGTCAATATAATAATTATCAGTTTTGCAGATCTCACTTAAGATGGTGAATTTCGAAAAACAAAATCTCGCTGTTTGTAAATTTTTTTTTCACAACGCACAGGTTTACATAGCACCGCATTTTGTATAAGTAAATGTGACTTTAATATGAAAGTATTTCTACAGATATATCTTTACAATCCAAAAGAAAGTTTTATATAATATGGCTATAATGAATTATTGTTCCATGTGTCAGTAATCCTTTTATTTATACTTAATAGTTTAATTGGTAATTTAAGTCAGTATTTTTTTTTTATCATAATTTCGAAACCACGTGATCATTTATGACGGCTTTCGCGTTTCATAATTTTTGAAAGAAATAACGGCGAACATGGACAAATAACGGCGAACATGGACGAATGGATGGGTGAATAGGTATAATTGACCATATGCCCTTAGATAAGTGACATTTTATTAAAAAAGTTCAGGTGCAAAAATTCTACAACTGTCATATTACTTAAATAATAAATCATAATATGCGGTAAGTTCTATTAGAAGTTTTTTTGTTATCAGCGAAATAAAGGAGAGGCTTTCTCACGCTGCCTTAAGGCGGGCTCCCGCTTACCCCCGCCGCCGGCGCCCGTGCGTCTCCACCGGGACCCTCCGCAGGTGAAGATCACGGCTCTGATAAACTCCCGTCCGCACAGCTTCACCCCATAGTCTCTGACCAGAGCAGCGCCGCCGCCGACGCCCTGCGCGCCGCCGCTTAGGCACAGACTCAGGAGAATCACAGACATAAGCCTAAGCATGATCTCCACTTCAGGGATACTTATGTCCGTCTTCCGTTCGTTATATCGAGCACCTTATATAGGTCTTTATTCGTAGTCCCGTGAGTCACTTTAGCCTGGTGTTAAAATGACCGGAACCCCCGCCTCCTTTTTAAAGAAATGACCACTTCAAAAAATGCCCCCACCTGAACTTGAACATGAACCCCGCCTTGCATTACCATTATTTACCAATTACAGTGGAACACGTTTACTTACTATATATATAATATAGATTTATAATAGAAAAAGTCTACAATGAGTTATGACGTATGGAGTTAAAATCGGGTTGACGTCAGTATATTTATTTCATATTCATAGTATTGCTGCTAGCCGACTACGAGTAATTCTTGCAATACTCGGATTTCAGTTTAAGCTTAAGTCCTTAAAAAAAGTATATTATAAAGACACAAGAGACACTTCACTCTTGCTGCGGTCTCAAAGACAATTTTACTTGACATATGAAGCTCCAGGCAAATCTCAACGTAATTCACATAATAAAATCAAGAGATACATCATTACTGGTTCAAAACACTCTTTTACATCACATACATACATGCCTATAGCATGAAGTGATTTATTGGGATCATCTCAGAAACCATTAACAACTGCATGAAGTTTGGCCACAATAGTAAAAAAAAAAAAAAATTAAAAGTGCTCTTCAAAAAAGTTGAATGTCAGCATATATTGGGTTGTTATGATAACAAAACTGACAAATGACAGATTGGACTGATTCATTGTACAAATTTTAAAATACATATACATCACTTTTTAGGTAGAGTCCAGCCAAATAAGTAACTGAGCATATGTCTATGAAGGATGACTCCTGCTGATTCAGACTGACAGACTGTGTGTTCCACGGGTGTCGATGACAGAAAGATGGCAGCTCTGCTTTTATTTATTTCCCAGGGTGACACTGAACCCCCAAAGCTGCTACTGACAGGTAGATGCAGAGAAATGCATACGACCATAATTACGAATAAATTAGTGTTACACGGTTCCCGACATTTTGGCTGATACTAAAACCCACAGGTGAGCCGGCGACGTCTGAGAGAAGCTCACTTCTCCAGGAAGAAGGCGCTCTGGGCTCGCCGTGCTTTCTCGATGGCCTCAAAGGTGGGCGTCCCGTGCGGAAGCTCCAAGCGCTCGTGCTCTGTCACCATAATGTCCTCCGCTTCACCTGAAAAGACATATGGAGGCTCGAGTAGAACATCCTTTATCCTCAAGCACATGAACAAACTCATCTGAAACCAGAGTAACAGAGCTACTGCTCAAGGTAGTTTAAAACTGCCAGTACTATCTCTGGGCATATGCTATTAGGGTCAGTGTAAAATGGAATAATAGGTAATGGAAACTATATAAAATGACCCAAACAAGATTATTTCCTGCCCATAACTTTAAGGCACAATAATATTACACTATTTCTTGGGACTAACTGGAATCAGAGATCGAGGGAAGGGGTCAACCGATGAAGTAACTTCAGCACTAGACCCTTTAACATTCTGGAAGTAATAGAATTACCATCACACATGTCCGTTAGTGAGATTTCAGAGATAATACACTTAAGGCTTTCCTAGTTGCATTACTTGCAGTAGGTTACACATCCCTGCACTCACTCTTCATGCGCTGCAGCAGAGTCCCATAGGCCGTGTCCAGTTGGTAGGCCAAGATGAAGCTCAGCGGAATAATGGGGACGAAGAGACCAGGGCTCTTCCGCTTCATAGCACTGCGGACAAGAGAAGGTTACCTTACAGCATGTCCATGTGGGGAACCTACGACGCGCTTTTGTGTATGTAAGCACTTTATTCGGAAATATGAACAGCACATCATCTGGGCAGGGAAGAGATGAACAAAGCAGATAACATTGAATGATGTGGTACAGTAAAAAATCCCATATGCGCTTACATCGGGAGGGACGGACGCAACCAGATGACTGAATTTTTCAGAGAGCTGAAGGTTAACCCTGGAAAAATACTGATTTGTAACACGTTTTACGCTTACTGTAATCCTTTCATACACAAGCACTAATAAAGTTCAAGATTCAATATGACACAAGATTGCCAGGTAAACAATGGCGGAACAAGTGGAAAGACTACTGAAATGTGCTAAACCCGTAGGCAGGCACAGGAACTTACATTTCTATTGTGCAATGCTTTCCTTTTTTGGAATTTATTTTTAGTGTTTTTAATAGAGTACTGTCATTTCTCCTTGTGCATGTTGCCAGTTACTTGAGCATGCTGGGTACCTGAATGCCAGATATGAGACCTTTTACTGCTTTATGATGAATTGGTCACAATTTTCTGTTTTTGCATCAGTATTGTACGATTGGTAAACAACTTGTCTCAGTGCATCTGGAAAATTACCATACAACACGAGACATTAACCAGTATTAAGATCATCTTAACTCTACCTCTTATGAAGGCATGATATAGAATCACATCCATTAAATGTACTGTAGGTACAAACCACAAATTTGTGAGTCATTATTAAAATATTTATTTGCATTTTGCAGAGGTTTCATATTCTGTGTTAGCTGTACCACACACATTTTGATCTTTCCCACTATTTTCGAATACAGAAGCCCGCTTGATGTGCTCACCCGACGGAGAGGCCAAAGGCAGCAAGGCCAAAGAAACTGCCATAGTACTTGAGGAATTCCCTGGACCAGGCGATCTGCATGGCCACCTGCCGCTCTCTCATCTGGTTCTGCATCAGAATTTGGCGTTCCAGCTGGAATAAAGCATGTCGTGCATCACCTCAAAATTTCCCAAACAGAAGAACCACTAAAGCGAGACTTCAGAATCTTACTTTATCACAGATCTCTGTAATCTAACAAGTCAACAAAGACCTTAATACCTCTTTTATGAACATCATTTGTTCAAATACCAGAAGAAATCATGCCATCTTTTAAAGAGATTAGGAAGACAGAGCTGTGCAGCTACATATATCCTGAGGCATTTATATTGTGTAAACGAAAAAAAATAAAAAAATCAGCCGGCTGATCCAGACTTTAGTGCCATTACTGATTTACACTGACGCAGGAGCCTTGTATAAAGGAATGATACCAATATATATTCAAATGACCATGTACCTTATAGCACCTGTGAATTATCGCATAGGAAGAGCTAATTCTGTATCTTATCTTTCACAGCCTTTGCTGATGTGTCATTGACAAAAAAAAAAAGTTGTTGCAGTAATACTGAACACAAATCAGAGGTAAAGTGATGACTTTCAAACAATCTTCTTTTTTATTTAACCTATGATTGTACTGCGACAGTTATTGCTGAAAAGAGGAATTGTTTTCCACTGGTGTTTATGTCCTTATATAATGCTAATTTATTACCACGTGAATCAGTTTTATAGTGGAAGTTAACATCCACACGCACAAGTTAGTAGCAAAGCAGCCTTCATTCTTCTATTTGTGAATAAATAGTCATTCTACTCCTTTTTTCCTCGCTATGAGAAGTTAGGATGGAGTCCTGGGGTCACAAACCCTGGTCAGAGTCAGACATTTAGATGTTTTTGCTCATTTTTAATGAACCAGTGAAAGTTCAAGTGGGCTTTTGTTAAGCGAGCTTCCTGTTTATTGCTTAAGGTTCAGACTGTTCATCCATCATCCTCGTAAGTATGAGAATGCATTGACTGGCACATTGTCTCACAGGTCTTCGGTTATTCAGTTGTGTTCCAGGTACAATGCATGTGGAGAAATATGACGTAGAAAGGTTAAAGAATGAATAACGGTTACGGAAGTGAAAATAAAACTCAAGCCATGCAAATGAGCCTTATGCAAATAGCTGGTGTGAAAGATGCAACAACTTAGTTTCTGGGAAGGTCAAAGGTCGCCCAACAGACTCTTCCAGTGGGTACCTATAAGTCAAAGACTGAGAATTATAATCGAATAACAAAAGAAATCCACCCCAGGAAAGTACAGAGCAAAAAGCAGAGGTCCACCTTGGATGTCAGTCCATGACTCGCACGATACAAAGATCAGCTGGCCTCCACTGCCATGCATAAAGCAGCCCCTGCTCCATCCAGCGAGTCCTCCTGCACACCTCTGCTACATCGCATCTGTAAACATGCTCTACCTTTCGCAAGATGGGATATGCAAAGGCGCTTGATGACATATATAACACACAAAGACTGGGGCAAAAGTAAGAAAGCGGAAGAACACATATTTATGTTTTATACATTTACTGCAGATCATATTACAGACCAGTGATTTAAGTTATTTGCCTTAGTGATGAACAACAAATATGACAATTATTTATAAGTTTAAGAGTGTATTTTTCATTAATAACAGAAATGACCCATGATCGTCACGTTTCACTTAGCACTGAAAGTGGATTTTTTTTTTTTCCCCCGGTTGTCAGTGGATGATGCTCATTTTACCAGCGGAGAGAAATGATGGCCGTTTTGCTTGCTGACTGCTGACGAAACCCATACAACCCGACGCGACGGCAGCCTGCACACCATACAATGCCTAAGAGGGTACATTAATATGCCATTACATGGCACTGTGTCCAGACGTATCCACGGGATGTGTCAGTCTCTGTCCCTCCACTGACGCTCCAGAGGGCTGGTGTTAAGCACACCGTCTCTCTAAAGTGCTGTCGAGATGAGATCCCATTCAGTCAAATAGCGGACAATGATTTGACTTTGACTGATGCGAACTGAAAGAAAATGTCCCCAAAAGCAGTTTGTGTGACAGGGTAATGTGAGAGAAGGCTGGCTGGCATACACAACCAGGGCCATTTAAAAATGCCTAATTAATTTTAATTATGCTCATTGACGCTTAACGATTAACCATCGGCCACATTACATCATCAGAAATTTCAGTCCAATCATAAGACGGCTGTTGGCAGCAGACGGCGCTGACTTTGGAACATTATCTGTTTCTCTTTCTCGAATAATGTTTATAATGAAAAGTTCTTATACACGTCACAGAGCCATATCCATTACATTTTAGTGTCTCTGCAGATCTCATGAATTATGTCATAAATAAAGATAATCATCGGGATTTAAAAAGCTGGACTCACACATACAGTATGACCTCAACAAAGCATCACTGATACGTGTTGCAGGGTTTATAAAATGGACCAAAAAGTATTAATCATTATTTGCTCGATTTATAGAGGAAAGGAAGAGAAGTGGAGCAACACCTTAGAGGCATTTAATAAGTCTGTCAAGTTCTCTGCCTTGAGAGCAGCAATGTAATATAGATTACCAGTGGTGAGTGTCTCATGGGCAAAGATAAATCAAAAATGCACAATCCACAAAATGAGGAAATTTCTTTTGTTTGGTACAGAGTAGCACTGTTTAACACTTCTAATAAAACTCACATTTTACACACTATCCTGCCAAGCAAAGACAAAGCAGATATTTTATTCATTATGGTGATAGATATGGTGGTAGTGATAATCGTAACAGCAATGAAACTAATAATGAGTAAGGCAGAAATGTCAGTCTAATTAAGAATGACAACTATGAAAACCATATCTTGAATACAAATCTTCTAGACTCCCCTACATAAAAACAGATTTTTTTTCTGCAATTCTCATTCCAATATTGTAGCCAGTGTGCAATTAACTGGACAGTTACAGTTAACAGGATATACATTTCCTTAATCAAAGATAGAATTTCATATACAAGTAATCTTAACAGCACGCTTGTTTGCAAACCTCACCCTTCCTTTTTCTCCCTCCTTCTTCAACAAGTGATAGGATAGATATATCTTTATTGTCACTATTACAGAAATAGTGAAAAACAGTTTGACTGCCTGTGGACTTCAATGTACTTCAATACAAGATTTAAAGGTTGTAATTTTATTAGGAATGACAGCAAAACATGATTAATGGGTTGGATTAGTTGCTTTCAGAAGATCCATGCAAGTTACAGCTTTAATTAATGCATAAGGAAACATAAAGCAAAATTAATTCCATCTGTGTCATAAGTGGATAATGAGCAGCACGGGATCTCTGTGCTTAGGACTGTGGCATCACACCCTCCCAGAAACATGCTATAAGGTAACTGGTGCCTCTGAATTCCCCCACAGTATGTGAGCCCTATCACAGCTTTTTTGCCCTATGGTTACTGGAACAGGCTCCAGAGTCACTTAGAATCTGTACTCGATTAATAGCATTGATGGATGGATGGATAAAAGAATGATTCTGGCCCTGGGGCTGTTGGACCCTTAAAGCTTCTTCACTTAAGTTTATCTGAATTATTTTGAACAGAATACAGTGGAACCTCGGTTCTCGAACTTAATCCGTTCCGGACTCAGGATCGAATCCTAAAAAGTTCGAGTTCTGATCGAATTTTTCCCATAAGAAATAATGGAAAACCAATTAATTGGTTCCCGGCCCCCCAAAATTACACCTAAATATGTTTTTTTATTTTTTTATTAGCATTTAAACACAAAATGAACAGGATAAAACAAGAAGAGCATTTTTTTCTTAATGGCTTCCAAAACGGTAAAGATCTTATCCCAACATTACCCCTGTCCTGCCCCGATCGTCCGCTCCTTCCGTGTGCCACTGCCCCTCGTTAACCTCGCATGGGATCCCCATGTGATCAGCTGTTTCTGGTTGTTGTCATTAGTCCTCTGTATTAGTTTGTTTCCCCAGTCCAGTCATTGGGTGCGTTGGACTTGCTTACAGCGCTGGCTTAAAGCAATGCATTCTGATCCTGACGCAATGCATTACGGTTAGATGCATTGCGACCTCTCACCCGGCTGCACAAACTGGAACCGCCTCCGTGACGACACACCTTTGCCCTTATTGGCTGAAGCATTTAGTTACACGCATGACGTTTGTATCCCAGGCAGTTCCGATGCGTAATCTGCTATTTCTCCCGAATATCACGTAAAGCAGTGAGAACTGGTTTTCAGTTAATTTACCTGGTGAAATAAAGTTTAAATAAATGACATAAATGCTCTAATAGTACACGTAAGTTAGTGGTTTATTTATTGGTAGTCACTATAATGTTGCGCTGCTTTATTTGCTTAATCATCCAGTCTGTGAAGAAGGCATTCAAGTAAGAATTGCATTGTAGTATGACTCATTTCCTGGCGCGTACAATTTATATTAGGTCAGCGTTCACGGATGGACTTCTGATATTCAGATCGAGTTCTAGGTCAAACTGGTTTGTTCGACTTTCAAGAAATTCGCGTTCTAGTGAGTTCGAGAACCGAGGTACCACTGTATTACAAATTTCACTAAGGTGGCTAAAAACAGGGGCAGATACAACAGCAGATACTGATACAAAGGGGTCTAACCAGTTTAAAAAGCTTCAGAGAGGCCAGAGTAAAATCCTTAATAAACGTTTATACCCTGCCAACACAGATGCAGCAAGGATATAATTTAAGACTCATATGAGCATTTAGGTAAACTGGCAATCTGGAAAGCCACAAGCATCCAGAGTCACAAAATAATTCACACTGTACCTTTAAATATAAAATAAAACTCCTCACCAGACTTGGTAAATCTATACCTATCATTTTTAACAAAAGGTATACTTTGATTGATTTAGTGTTGCCTGGACACCTGTAGATTGTATTGCCATTAATGAATGCATGCTGATCATGTACATTTCAGGTTTCTTACCTGAAGTCTACCATTGAGCAGCATAAACTCCTGCTGCTTTTTCATGCTCTGTTCCATGGACTTAGACATGAGGAATCCCATTGTTCCCTTCACAATTGAAAAAAGAAAATGTGTACAAATCAAACAAACATAATTCAAACAAAATCTGACAGTGTAATACAATAAGAAAAACATTAAGTTTTACTATACTGTCCACGGTTCAGTATCTTGCACCGTCAAGAATGCTATGGGTAATGCAAAGTCTCAGAAAGTTTAAATGAACAAACCAGATCTAGGAATACAGTCAACTGTCTATCTATAATCCTGCAAATTCAAAATATCAATTTTGATCTTTTTTTCCATAATGGCCGGTGTTATTTTAGCTCAGGCTTGTAAAATAATTACATTAATAAGAGTTTTAGTATTGGCGCTGCAAGTTAAACGTATTATAAGATCCCATTCTAAAACAAGAATACTGACCTTCTGTAAAAACCCTAGTGTACAAATACTGCTTTCGATTATACGCCAGTATGTTTCTTCAGCCTCTCAAATGCATCGAGGGACACAATCGTTTGAAACGGGGAAAGATGACAATCCGATGGCTAACACAAACGAAACACCTAGATTCCCCGAATTACTTTTTTCTGCACCTAAAATAACTTTCTGACACTGGCTACAGTTTTGAACTTGGCATCAATGTTGGACTTGTCTCAACAAAAGACAGAAGTAGAAGAGTGAAGAGAGAACTAATGGTGGACCTCGCAGGCAACACAGCTAATCGGTGCATAACTAGTAAGGTCAAATAAAGGAATTAAACTTTAAATTCTGTACAGCCAACTAGGTCACCGTTTCTGCTAGGACTGTTAAAGTGACAGCTTCACATTCAGATAAATGGCTATAAAATCCGCCTAATATACACCAATGCCGGGTCCCTACCTAAAACCGCTAGCTAGTTAGCTGTAAAGATAGCAATATCCAGTAAAAAATGTGATGATTATTTCTGCTCTTTGTGCACAGGCCGTCTGTGTAAATGGCAGAAAGGCATCAACACTATATCATTAACCTGTGTTCTTACCTATATTTACGATCATTTAATTTGTGGGTAATAACGTACCTTTTGGTTTTCCTAGTTATTGAAAAATTATGTTTTCTAAGGAAACGTTGAAACAAACGCGCTGTATCCCAGAACAGGGCCTATCGATAATTGATTACACGGACTTGCAGGTTGCGATGAGGCAATGAGGGCTTCCGGGGTCACGGTGGGCGGGGCTAGAGAGCGCAGCTGTCCGCCTGCATTAGCGGGACTGCGGCCGGGACCCTAAGTTGGGCAGCTCGGCCTTTGTCACCGTGTGTCTTCGAATTCTGTTAACCCAGTCGCGGTACACTCGTTCAGCACGGTGTATATATTACAGCAGTTTGTTAGGCAAACTGTATTTAAAACGTGCAGTCTTGGTGTGGTTTTGGAGTTAAGTTACATCTTACAGAAAACTTGTCTTTCGGTAATGTTTTTTTTTTTCCAAAAATCTGCAAGCTTTTCTATCTAAAGTACATGCAAAAACACTGTAAATCGAAATGTATTGCTAAGATCTTGAGCTTATGTGTGAAATCAAACATGTATATTTCTGGAACTCGACGCCAGCAGCTGCTTTTAACAAGGTGTTCTTGACGACTGATGGACACATATTCCATATGTATATAGCGCTGCAGAACTTTTGCACTATTTGTTTATTGTTTGTAGTGTGTACATATTTGCACTGAAGGTGCTGCTCTTAATCTCATTATACATGTGTATAGTGACAATAAAAGGCATTCATTCATTGATTCATTCAACGATAGTCACGGTACCAGTGATCTGAAGTAAATATGTGCTCACTTATCTAACATGTACTTCAACTATTTCAGTTGTCTTCAAAATCAATATAGATTGTCTGCGTCTTTTAAAGTATTTAATTTATATTTTTAAATTACTTATGAGTGAATCATCACCATGAGTGAATAGTGCGGGATTGTGACCTGTGATGGGTTGGTGCCCCATCCTGGGTTGTTCCCCGCCTTGCGCCCGTAGCCTCCGGGATACGCTCCAGACCCGCAACCCTGAATAGGCAAATCAGTTACAGAAAATGGATGCATGGATGGATGACATCATCAATACTTGATATTTAGGATTGCCATGCAGATCTCATGCATCTGGTGTGACTTAAATGCTTTTGGACTCTCACGCTCATGCAAGGAATCTTACGGCAAATCTATAATTATTCCACTATAAACCTAAAATTAGCTACATCGAAAGTGGTGGGGTAGTTTTCAAGCCCTACAGACTATTAACAAGGTAATTAAACTGTTACATACATGTAAATCCGCGTGAATGTGTGTACAGACTCCTCTCGAAAATCTCATTCCAGGACGCTGACCAAAGTTGACAACCCTGCATGAGGAGCAGGTGTAGACTGTAAACTGGTCCGCTTTACAAATTGTGAACCTGACAACTGTGCGATTTCTGTTTTTTTTTCTCTAGTAAGTTCTACGAATGTGCCATTTTTTCATTGTACGCTATGTTATTAGCTCGATCACCTAGGCGACCAATTAAGTGTTTGGGACTAGGACAGTCTCGGTATTGTATGTCCCATCACTATGTATTATTGCTAATTTAAAAGCGTTTAGGAACAACCCAGCTAACAAAATGACGTCCTTTCAATGTCATCTGAACGTCGACAAATGTCATGAAAACGTTTACAATTAACATCATTTGGATGTTATTTTGTAGGTTCCTCTGTACAGGATAGACGACGTCATTTCCGACGTCCTTACCACGTCTTCATGAATGACATCCTTTCAACGTTCTCTGAACGTTGACAAACGTCATGAAAACGTTTTTTATTGACGTTATGTGAACGTTATTTCCGATGTCCTCACCTCGTCTTCACAACGTTACCATGCTATTTCAGAAACACCTATACAACGTTGTTTTTTTGTCTTTTGTAGGACATTTCCAAATGATTTATTAATTTATTTATGTATAGATCATACATAAATTCGTAAGCTAGAAAGACAAATTTAAAACATCTTATTAATCAAATAAAACACTTCATTAAAATATATATATAAATAAAACAGCATTTTTTTAACCATGGCAGAAATGTCTAAACAATTTAAGCAGTTTAACATAAACATACAATTAACCATATATATAAACAAACCTATATAAAAATATATATACTGTTAGGAAGATTCATCACAGTAGCACAACACTGTTATATACACTCACCTAAAGGATTATTAGGAACACCATACTAAATACGGTGTTTGACCCCCTTTCACCTTCAGAACTGCCTTAATTCTACGTGGCATTGATTCAACAAGGTGCTGAAAGCATTCTTTAGAAATGTTGGCCCATATTGAT